ATACAGCCCCGTTGTGGACATGGTGGCCAGATCTGTATGTTGACTTAGAACTTGTACTGGGGCAATTTTATTACCTCCCCCAGAAAAACCACCAGGAACAATATCATATGAAAAAAACAGGCTTTGGTTGACTCATCATCCACAGTCAACCACCAAGCTTTGAGGGCAAATGGGTTCTTTGCTTGCCAAGGTTTCCGGACAGGTTGGTGGAGGCACAATTGTGGGGGTGCTGATAGAATCTACTGCACTGAATGGAATTGTGTGGAAGTTAATGATGGGCAGTGGAGATGGGAGGTTTCCCCTGACCTGATTGATATGAGGTTTACTTCTCCATACAACCAATGGACAGTATCTCCACTGGCCAACCAGGTTAAAATCACTTTTACCTCAAAGGGAAAAAATGATAAAAGGTGGATAGATGGGCTGACATGGGGCCTGATGCCCCACCAGATGCCATGGAGGGGGGTCCTGTTCCAGATCTTCCTCCAGGTCGGGGCAGTGGTTAGGTCGCTGGTAGGACCTAACCCAGTGTTAAATACCCCTTGTCTGAGGCCCCAACCTCCCCCGCCTGGGTCTCCTAGGCCCACTTTCAAGCCATCAGGCACCGCAACGACATCAGCAGCCCCAGCCACGGAAAGGCCAGGGACAGCTGTGAAACCACAGACTCCCAGCAACCCTATGTGGGAGATGGTGCAAGCTGTAGTAGAAACCCTTAATCATACCACTCCCTCTCTTACTGACCCCTGTTGGCTGTGCTACCCAGGATCCCCACCCTTTTATGAGGCCATCGGGATAAATAGTTCCTATACTCTCAACAACTCTCATCCCACCTATTGAGACGGGAGACCATGGGGACTTACTCTTGCCCAGATCTCAGCCTCTGGCACATGTGTAGGCACAGTTCCAACATCCCAAAGCCAGTTATGCTCCTCATGAAAACAGTACTCCTCCCTCTGCAATCAGACCAGGATTCTTCCTGTGTCCACCGATGTCTTCGTTATCCCCCCTCCCAATGAGTGGTGGGCGTGCTCTTCAGGACTAACACCTTGCGTCTCCGTGAATGTCCTCAATGTAGGAGGCTTTTGTGTTCTCACCCTCCTTCTTCCTCATCTGGTCTACCATCTGGATCAGGAATTCTTACTATCATACGCACCCTCTCTCTCTCCCTCACTGCATTCTAAGAGAACTCCTGCAGCTATAGCCTTAACCCTTGCGACTTTAGTCAGTACAGGTGTTGCTGCGGGGGTGGGCACAGGGACCACTGCATTAATACAGGGGCGAGATCAATACAACTCTTTATGCACTAGCTTAGACCTGGATCTTCAGAGAATAGAAGAGTCCATATCTAAGCTTCAGGACTCTATTGGATCATTAGCAGAAGTAACTTTACAAAACCGAAGAGGGTTAGACCTCTTGTTCTTACAGCAAGGAGGGCTATGTGTTGCCCTGAAAGAGGAATGTTGTTTTTATAGGGACCATTCAGGGCTAATAAAGGACAACATGGCCAAAATAAGAGAAGGGTTGGAGAAAAGAAAATTAGAATGAGAGAACAGTCAAGGATGGTTTAAATCTTGGTTCAACCAATCTCCTTGGTTAACAACCCTCCTCTTGGCTGTCGCAGGACCTCTAATCATCCTGCTGTTATTAGTCACAATTGGTCCCTGCATAATAAATAGGCTACTAAGTTTTGTTCAGGAAAAGATCGATACTGTCCATCTCTTGGTCCTTCGCCAGAAATACCAAGCCTTAGATACTGCTGAGGAAGATTCCTCAGTCTGATCTAGAAAAAGGGGGGGAATGTTAGGGAAGGAGGAATTTACTGCTTGTTTGAATTTACTGCTTTTAGCCAATTAACTCAACTGGAGACACAGGCATCCGGAGATAGGGGCAAGTGCTGCAGCCCCGTAAGTTGTCTGGTCTGTGTCATTCACGTAAGCATGTCTGCTTACACAAGATAACAGGGAAGGGTCGCGCCAGGCACATACCACCCATCCCTCCCCAATTGAGATACCTGAAGGGAGTTGTAACATTTTTTCTTGTTTTGAAGTTATTGGTTTGTGAAATGCTTGCTTTGAAACTATTGGTTGTATAAGCATGGGCTTTTGTGTAACGGTTGTGGGAGCCTATATAATCTTTACCTGAAGTTGCCTCGGGGTCAATCGCTCCAACCAGACCTGCATGTCTTGGAAGGATGGTCAGCCCCAGCTAGCTGGCCTAATAAAACTCTGCTTGATTTTGCATCTCCATGTTCTCCTGAAGAGACCCACCTAGTCTAACAGCACAAGAAGAAGCATCCTGATGCTTCCATCAACTTCTGAGTTTTCCAAGAAGTGCTCAGAGAGGTGGAAGACCATGTCTGCTGAAGAAAAAGGAGTTTGAAGACATGGCAAAGGCTGACAGGGCTTGTGATGAAAGAGAAATGAAAACCTATATCCCTCCTAAAGGGGAAATGTAAATTTAAAGATCCTAATACACCCAAAAGGCCTCCTTCAGTTTTCTTCTTCTTCTGTTCTGAGTGTGAAAGAAAAGTTCCCAAAAAGCACTCAGATAGAAAAAAAAAACAAAAAACTTTTAGAATGTATTATTCTAGCAGACCACCTGGTCTCACCGATTAAAAGGCTAAGAATGTCATCAGATAACATGAGACTTGTAGTAAAAAGCCCCTCACTTTGCTGTGACCTGCCTACTGAATGTATATTCCAATGTATTTGAAAAGTGTCTTGATTTATGACATTTCTTTGTTCTGTTACTATAAATAATGTAAAGCAACAGTTACCACACTGGAACATGGAATCTGGGATAACCTTAATCTGTGTTCCCAGGCCATGGTCACTCATATTTGGCTCCAGAATAAACTATCTCTTACCTGATTTGAGGTGAGAGTTTTGGTGTTGACATGAGTATCCCCCAAATCAGAGAGCATCTTGGCTGATGTATTGGTGACATTGCAAAGAAACTGGGAGGGATGTGGAACAGCACTGCTGCAGAGGACAAGCAGCCTTAGGAGAAGAAGGCCACTGAGCCAAGGGAGAAAAACAAAAGGGATATTGCTGCCCACAGAGCTAAAGGAAAACCTGATACTGAGAAAAGGGGGTTGTCAAGGCGGGAAAGAGCAAAAAAGAAGGAAGAGGAGGAACATGAAGAAGATGAAGAGGAGGAATGTTTGTTCCAGTGCAAGTTTTTTTTCTTATCTATAAAGCATTTAATCCCCCTGTACACAACTCCTTTTAAAGAAAAAAATTGAAGCGTAAGGCTGTGTAAGATTTGTTTTTAAACTGTACAGTGTCTTTTTTGTATATTTAACATATTACCAAATGTGTCTTGAGAGAGCCCTGGCCTGGTGGTGTTGTGCCCAGTTCGAGAGACCCCCCAAAGACCACCAAGGAGCTGACCGATGCAAATACACAAGGGTTCTTTTATTGTTACAAGCTTAAGCTTGGGTCCACTCTGTCACCCACTCAGCGGATCTCAGATGTGAGACCCCTTGCTTTGGGCTTATAGATTTAGTTCAGGAAGTTCAGCAAGTAGGGGAGTAGGGGGGTCTTCAGCCTGGCAAACATCTGATTGGTTGCAGCTCAGTGCCAAACCATAAACTACTGGCTTCAGGAAATCTGAAAAGGTATCTGGATTTTTAGTACTTTCCTGTCCCTGGTTAATTGACCATTGGTGGGGGAGTTGTTCTCTATCCTTCTAAGTATTGTAGTTTTTCTTGGAACAGGGCCCAGGGCTGGGTCAGTCCTATGGAGGTTTTATACAAGATGGAGTCACTCAGGTCTCTCAGTGGTATTTTCAACAGCCACTAACCTTTGCCTGGTCAGTACAGGGGCTGTAAACTGGCATGGAAATTAAAAGCAGGTTCTTGGTGCACATCACAAATTAGTTATGTAAGGGGACGGTAGGTTTTTTTCATCTTCAGTTGTCTCTGATGCAGCTTATACGAAAATAATTGTTACTCTGTTAGCTGAATACCAGTCTAATTGCAAAAATATACAGCTGTTTTGTTGACATTCTGAATGCGTCTAAGTAAACACAATTTTTTTATTTTAAAAAATGCTCAGATCTTGAATTTTCAGTATCAATAAGTGTGTCAAGGCTGGGCAGCCTAGCATTGGGGAAGCAGAGGCAGGCAGATCTAAGGGTCATAGTGAGACCCCTGTCTGAATAAAAGAGAGAAAAAAGCTGTCAAGGGCCGACCAGGTGCCTCAGTGGATAAAAGCGGTTGTGCACCACTTTGATCCCTGAGTTTGGTTCCTGGAACCCCGCATAGTGGGAGGAGAGCATCAACTGCCTAAACCATGTCCAGTGTTACATGTGCATGTCCACTCACATGTACACAAATTTAAACGGGTGTGGTGGCTTCTGCTTGTAATCGAGGTACAAAAACGCACAAATCCCAGCACAAAGGCAGGCCAGCCTAGCTACACAGCCAACTATAAATCATTCTGGGCTGGAGTGAAACCCAGTCTCAAAAACTAAAAAATTCAGGTGTGGTGCCTGGTTTACACCTATAATCCTGGAACTTGAGAAACTGAGGCAGGAGGATCACTACAGGTTTGATGACAGCCTGGGCTGCACCGTGAGAGCCAGCCTCAGAAAGTAAACATTTAAAAAAAATCTCTCTCCAGGAGACCAGGTATCACCACTCTTTGTCAGTTTTGTTCACCTGAAAACCAGCGAACCCCGCCTCCAAAAGGGTTGTAAAATTTAGGTGAGAAAATATAAGTAACGTGTTTATCAGGAGTTGAAGGCTTTGGCTTTCTCTAAAGAATAATTACACTACTTTCCGTTAACTGTTCAATAATATTATGTATAAGGTTCACCGTCAGCTTCTACAGTTAAAGGCGTAGAACCGTTCCGGAATCTCTTTTGCTAGGAACTGAACTCGAAGTCTTCATGACACCACCGGAGCCTTAAGTTTGACGAACCATAGGTTTGCTCTTGTGCAGCTCCACCCCCGCAGGCGTCAGCTCAGCGCCAAGGGGGCGGGGGCGGTTCTCTACTCCTTGCGCCTGCGCCACTACCTGGCCGAGGCCAGTGCGCAGGCCCCGACTGGCGGGACTGTAGCCATGGCTTGGGTGCCGTCGGAGTCTGCAGTGGAAGAGTTGATGCCCCGGCTATTGCCGGTGGAGCCCTGCGACCTGACGGAAGGCTTCGATCCCTCGGTACCTCCCAGGACGCCTCAGGAATACTTGAGGCGGGTCCAGTGAGTGATTCCGCCCCGTGGGAGTGAGCTGGTCTGTGCTGCCCCAGCGGTGCGGCGGGGGACCCTAAGTGTTCCGGGCCAAGCCCCTCAGTTCCGATTCCCCTCCCTCTGAGGTGGGAGCAGTTAGAGATCCCTGTATTTCAGCCTATCGCAGGCAAATGTACTTTGAGCTCGATTGCACATGTTAAGCCGTGTACTCCTTTTTTTTTTTTTTTTCAAATATATGTTTTATGTATTTTATGTGTATGAGTGGATTGCCTGCATGTGTTTAAGTGCACCCATGCTGGCTGAAGTCAGAAGAGGGCATCAAATCCCCTGGAACTGGAGTTACAGACAGTTAGTTGTTAGACACCATTTGGTTGCTGGGACTCAAACCTGAGTAGTCAGCACTCAACCACCGAACCGTCTTTCCAGCCCCTAAGCCATGTACTCTTAACTTTGTTTTTAATCCAGATAATTTCAAACTCTGGTACATTTGTTGGGAATCTGAACTTATTTCCGATTTCATAATAAAGTGCATCTTTTTATTACACAGGAATAAAACAAAATAATCTTTATATATTGCTTATTTGTAGGATCGAAGCAGCCCAGTGTCCAGATGTTGTGGTAGCCCAAATTGATCCAAAGAAGTTGAAAAGGAAGCAGAGTGTGAATGTTTCCGTGAGTTTTAATAAACATCTGAGGATATAATAATCACACACACACTAGACTAAGGCTCTAGTACCCAACAGTATCAATTATGGTATAGGTGAGATTGGATTACTCCCTATAAAATTAGACACCGCTTGGAGGCCAAGGCAGGAATTGGAGGCCAGCAGGGCTACATAGTGAATTCCAGGCCAGCTTGCATTGTAAAATGGTATGAAGAGTTTTTTTAAAAAAAAATGTGTGTAATTAAAAAATTACAAAAGTTTTTCAGTTGCTTAGTAGTGCTGTTTTTTATATGTAAACAAATTTTGGAAATACTATTTTCATTTTATGTTTCATTGTTTTTCCTGCATGTATGTAAGTGCACCTGTGTTGTACGATGCATGAGGAGGTCAGAAGAAGGCATCAGATTCCTTTGGAACTGGAGTTAGGGATGGTTGCTAGTTGCCATGTGGGCCCTCTGCAAGAACAACCATCACTCTTAACCACCGAGCCATCTCTCCAGCCCCAAAACAATTTTTTTCTGCACCTTTATAGTTATTATCCTACAGGTCCATATCCTTAGTTGACATTTTTCCAGGTTCAAAACACAAATATCTTAGCACTTTTCTATCTTCTTGCACGCTATGGCATTATTTACTTATTTATCCAGCATACTTTTTTAAAAGCAATTAGGTTGTGCTGGGCACTAGAAACACAACAAACCATAATATAAAGAAAAAGTTCCCATGCTAGGTGAAGTGGTGAGCACTCTTGTAATCCTGGGACTTGGGGAGCAGAGGATTAGGAGTTCAGGATCGTTCTCAGAGACTAGCCTGGGCTAAAGGAGACAGTGTCTCAGGAAAAGAAAAAAAAAAGGAAAGGACAGATCCTTACTTGTACACTGTAACTTTCTCCTGAAGGACACAGAAAATAATCAGTAGTGTTGTTACATTAAGAAAATAAATAATGTTCAGTAAATAAAAGAGAGACTACCGAGTGGTCAATGAACATCTCTCAGAGGAGGTTACATTACATTTAACCTGAGGTCAGTTTTTGGTAAATTTCTGATAATTTCCTTTTTTATATTTGAAATTATTCCTTTAATGTTTATAATCAGGGCATTTTAATTCAAGCACTATAATGTTTTATATAACTTCAAGAGTTCTTAATTAATGACATGATGTTTCTGTATACTTAATGAGTTTTATCATAATACCTGATCATTTGTGTGCTATGCCCTGTTTTAGAAAACAAAAGTAGAGCTAGGGATGTGGGCTAGTAGTAGACCACTTAGCTACTTTGTTTGAGACCCCAGGTTCATACTCCATCAACACCCCCCCCCAAAAAAAAAAAAAAAACAAAAAACAAGTAGACCTTTATAAGTCAAGTGCCTTTAAGTTATTTGGGTACATTTTGACTGTCCCCAAATTCTTTATTCAGGCTATCTCTCTGTCTCTGGGTGGGGGTGGGGGGGTGATATGGGGTCTTTTTGTTTTTTGTTTCTCTTCACAATTATAAAGTAGAACTAGGTTATATCTTCAAAGTATATATCATTAGATTTCTAAGAAACTCCAATTATAAACTACCCTTTTTTTAAAGACACATTCTCCCATAGCCCCAGTTGGTCTAGAACTCACTATGTAGACCAGGCTGGCCTCAATCTCACAGAGATCTGCCTGACTCTGCTTCCCAAGTACTGGGATTAAAGGTGGGTGCCACCACACCTGGCCATATTTCTCTTAGTCTAACTAACAGTCTCTTATTAATCAGGACATAAGTAGTAAAATGAACTACTTACTTTTTTTGCTCTGATAGAGTGTACCTTTATTTTCTCATGTAGTCTTATCATTCACTTGAATATATTTACTCTTCATCTTGGTTTTGCATTTATTCCACAGAGGCATAAAATTTCAGTTCCAGCACTAACATTGACTCTAATATTTGTGAACTGATTTCCAGCTTTCAGGGTGCCACCCTGCCCCTGAGGGTTACTCCCCAACGCTTCAGTGGCAGCAGCAACAAGTGGTACAGTTTTCAACTGTTCGACAGGCAAGTGTCCCATTTAGTCAAATTAAACCTCCTTCAGATGTGTTTCTGTTCTTAAACTATAATTGGAAAAATGAGTGATTCTATTGTATATAGATATTTATGAATTGATCACCAAATTATATTAGACATATTTGATAAGATAGTCTCCAAATTTTAAAGATAGATAGAATTTTGTGTAAAAGCTGATTTCTTGTTTGTTTTTCATTCTCTGAAGATCATTAACTTTTTTTCCTTTAGAGTATGAACAAACATAGAACCCACTGGAAATCCCAGCAGTTGGATAGTAATGTGACCATGGTATGTGAGTTTCTTAGTTTTAGTTGTCTAGTATATGCCTGTGTGAAAAAAATCTATATTTACTTTCAGTTTTTAAAGAATTACTTTCTTAGTCCATATTATTTTTATTTTCTTTCATAAACCGTTATGTAATTGTAACAATTTGTTATGGTAGTAGCTTGAATCAGTAGTACAAGTTGTTATTAAGCTATCTTATCTCAGGAGACTTGGAGTTTGAGAAAGTTGTTAGACTCAAAATGGAGTTCTGTGTCAACTCCAACAAAAAAAGCAAGCCAAGAAGTTAGGAAGAAAGTGTCTTGTGTATTATTACCTAATAATAACCACAGAAGACTGCAAATTTCCAGTCTTACACTAAAACCACTACCTTGTACAAAAATACTTCTAAGCAAGGATGGCGCTCTCCTTAATCCCAACACTCTTGGGGCTGAGACAGGAGAGGATCCAGTTTGAGACCAGCCCGGACTCCATTGTAAAATTGAGGTCAAGCTAGGCTATAGGAGACTCAAAAATTAAAATAAAAAGCAAACAAAAAAGTACTTCTACAAGGACATCTTCCCAGCTGCCTTCTATTCATCCTCAGACTGATACTACTCCTAGTTTTAATCATGGGCATATGGATCATTTTCTCAAAATATTTGCTGTAATCCTTGCCTCAGCCTCCTGGTAGTTTCTTGGGGCACACATATTCTCATTGCAATGTGCTGCTGTTCCCAAGTAAGTACTACTCTTTGGAGACTCATTTCTTGCAGTCTCAGGGATTACCCTTCTTGTAATGCCATATGCGTGCTCTCCACTGATCTACAACCCTGGGCCTTGTTTTTGAGACAAGGTTTCACTGTGTAGTTCAGACTGGCCTTGAACTTGGAATCCTCCTCCCTCTACCTCCTGAGTGTTGAGATTATATGTGCTGCCATAGCAGACATCTCCCTCCCGTAGGTTGACAATAAGTACCTGACCTCTCCAGGCGTTTATGGATTCTTCTAAACTGTTATTTATTTATTTATTTTTTTGGATATAAATGCATTTTCAATATTAAAAACATTGAATAAAGGCTTATTAGAGTTTCTTGGTGGGATAATGGTACCTTATTATGTATACAATATTTATAGAGTGATTAGCTCTGCTTCACAGGAACATGACATAATAATGAAGCCTGTGATACATACTAGAAAATATTGCTTCCTACTGATTAGGAAAATGATTCCTAAATCATAACAGCTTGGATAGAATTAAGCTTTTCAAATATTAGCACTCAGAATAAAAATTAGACTTCGGGAAGAGATGAAAACATTGTTTCAGGCAATTGTTTTAAACCTTGTAAGGAATCACAAATTATATCTGAGAAGGTGATGACAGCAGGGGACAAAAATGTATTGCTTGTGCATCTGGGGCCAATTAGATAGCTCCTTTGGTAAAGAACCTTGCCTACAATTCTGACAGCCTGAGTTCAGTCTCAAGACCCACATAGTGGAACAAGAGAGCCAGCTCCAGAAAGTTGTCCTCCAGTTGCTGTGCATGCTTCTGTGTAAACACACACAGGAAATAAGTAAATAAACATGTAATTAAAAATTCACTTTTACAAAAGACACAGGTCAAATCAGATTAGAGTTCCTTCTAGTAGCCTTATATAGTCACAGCCTATGATATTGACAGTTAGGGCTTCGGTATGAATTTGTGGGGTTCACACAAAATCCTACTAATAACCAGCACCCTATCCTTGTGTGGAGGTGTTGAGACTACAAGGGGGTTCTTGCTTTTTTTATTTATAGAAGTATCACTTCTTTTTTAAGTAATTTTTTTTTTTTTCCTTTTAGCCAAAATCTGAAGATGAAGAAGGCTGGAAAAAATTTTGTCTAGGTGAAAGATTATGTGCTGAAGGGGCTGTTGGACCACCTACAGATGAATGTCCTGGAATTGATTATGTACAAGTAGGTGATAATGCAGATTAAGCAAAAAGTAGCAGAAAATTGGGGCCATCACTTAGCGTAAGGGTAGCAACAATCCACAGTTTAGCCAAGTTCAGGCTACAGCCTACTTTTGTATGTCTCCTAAACTAAGAATGGTTTGCGTTTTGTTCACTGGTAGTTAAAAACAAAGAAGAGTCTGATACTATATATGACTTTCAAAGACTAAAATATTTACTGTCTGCTTCTATATAAAAACCATTTACTAGGCCGGGCATGGTGGCCCATGCGTTTAATCCCAGCACTTGGGAGGCAGAGGCAGGCGGATCTCTATGAGTTCAAGGCCAGCCTGGTCTACATAGTGAGTTCCAGGACAGCTGGGGCTACAGAGAGACCCTGTCTCAAAAAGACCAAAAAAAAAAAAAAATTACCAGCCTCTTACTTATAACATTGAGTTAAAACTCATCAGAGAAATAGGATAACAAGACAGTTAGAAAACTTGTAAAGTGCTTATTAAAGTCCCTGTATTGAAGATGAAATATTGAGAGTATTCTTTAAATTATATGTGGCTTTATGGGGGGCATTGAGGCAGAGTCTCACCCAGGTTTGCCTGGAACCCACCCAGCTTAGGCTGGCCTCAGCCTTACAATCCTCATGCCTTCAGCTTCCAAATGAGACACCATACCCAGCTGTTTGCATGGCTGTAATCATCAATTTTGTATCTTGTACCTTGTCCTTCATGAGACACCTGCCTCTAAATTTTCAGATGTTCCCATAAAAAATGCACTGTGGGGGCTGGCAGGTTAGCTCAGCAGATAAAAGCACTTGCTACCAAGCCAAATATGTGAATTTAATCCTCAGAAACCCACACTGGGAAGAGAGCCAAATCCTGAAAGTTGTCCTCTGACCACCACACACACACAATATGGCACGTGTGCCTACACACTTACATACATACACAAAATAAATATATAAATGTAAAAAAAACCCCAAAAACCTGGATTCTCATTGCTACTTCCATATTCTATTTAACAGATACTTGTTTGCTATGTAGCAGTGTAGTTCTGTTTTCCCCATTTACAACTAATTCTTAAACCAAGCCTCCTAGCATAGGGTCAGTGTCCAGTATAGCAAGAACAACAACTAAAAACTAATTCTCAAAATGTAAAAACCCCTAGCTGGGTATGGTGGTGCATACCTTTAATCCTAGCACTCAGGAGACAGAGGCAGGCAGATCTCTGAGATCAAGGCCAGCCTGGTTTCAGGCCAGCTGTGGCTACCAGAAGACCCTGTCTCAAAAAAAGAAAAAAAAATCTTAACGAGCTCCAAAAACCACTCAAAAGACCAAGAAAAGATAACAGCTATACATAAACATCTCACAGAAAGGAAATAGAAACTTTTTATAGAAGATGCTCAGCCTCACTCCTAATAGAACTGTTACTGATTTGACTTCTTATTGCGGAATAGATACAAGTAGAATATACTATGGTTAAAAACCACCTGAGAACAGAGTTAGTGCATACCCTCTGTCCATTCCTCGAACGTCAGAGGTTTCACAGTCAGGGCTCCCACCATTAAACTCCAAAGTAAACTTTTTAAATTGAATCAGATTAGGTTTTTAAAATATTCCTCTAATTCAAGTGTCCTTAATTCATTAAAATTTCACTGATGGCTTTTTTGCCTTTTTTTGTTTTTTTGAGATAGAATCTCCTTTCGCCCAAGCTAACTTTGAACTCAATATGTAGCCAAGGATGACCTTGAACTCCAGATCCTGATGTCTCCACCTCCCAAGTGTTATATCACCACTCCCTACATAACTGAGAGTTTTAAATGGTATGTACATCATTAATATTTCAGGGTCACTGTGGATTTTTAAATAATTTTGTTAAATGTAATTGACACAAAGTTAATATTTTCAGCCATGTATAGTGATACAGACCTGTAATCTTAGCACTAGACAGGCTGAGGCAGGAAGATAGCTGCAAGTTTGAGACCAACCTGTGCTACATAATTAATTTGTAGCCAGCCTGGTCTAGAGAGTAAGACTATCTCAAAGAATTAAACAAAACAAAAACTGTTTTCATGTAATGTTTTTTAAATTTCATACTTTAACATATGAGTTATTAAAAACATATTCTTGAGGCTGGAGAGATGGTTCATTGGTTAAGAGCACTGACTGCTCTTGCAGAGGACCCAAGTACAATTCTCAGCACCCAGATGATGGGTAACAACTGTCTATAACTCCAGTTCCAGGGGATCTGACACCTTCGTCTGACCTCCTTGGACACTGCACAACATGAGTGCCTTTATATACATGCAGACAATACACTCATCACATAAAGTACTTTTTAAAATGTTTTACAAAAGCAGCAAGGGACTGGAGAGATGGATCACTGGTTAGGAGCACTGGCTGCTCTTGCAGAGGACCCAGGTTCAATTCCCAGCACTCACATGACCACTAACAACTGTAACTCCAGTTCTGTTCCGGGAGATGCGACACCCTCTTCTGACCTCAGGCATTGTATGACACAGGTACACTTAATGCACGCAGAGAATATACTCAAACACATTAAAATAATAAATAAAACAAAACATATTCTTAGCCAGGCATGGTGGCACACATTTGTAATCCCACACCCAGTGCTTGTGAGACTGAGGCAGGAGGATCACTGAGGCCAGTGGGGCTGCATGGTGAGTTCAAGACCAGCACGGGCTACATAGAACCACTTTCAAAAAACAAAAGAATTAATTTACAAAAAAAAAAATCATATTCTTAGGATGTCTTATAGTGGACCATGAAGGAATTCTTACATGTGTGTACACATATGTATAGGTGCATGTGGAGGCCAGAGGTCAAGCTTGTGTCATGTTCCTTGGGTACTATCCATCTTATTTTTAAAGACTTGGCTCTTACTAACTTGGGGCTTACAAGTTCAGCTAAGCTGATGAGCCAGCAAGCTCTGTTTCCCCAGCACTGGAATTATAAGCATGCACCCTAACACCAGGCTATTTTTACTTGGGTTCTGGAGATTGAACTGATGTCCCCATGCTCACATGGCAAGGACTTTACCAAATGAGACATCTCCCGAACCCCAAAGATATTCTTTTTTCTTAGGATTTTAATGCCTATGTGCACGTATATATGTGCTTGTTGCCCATGGAGGCTAGAATCTCTGGAACTGGAGTTATGGGCAGTTGTGAGCCACCTAATGTGGGTGCTGGGAACCAAACCCTGGTCCTCTGTAAGAACAGCAAGGGCTCTTAATTGTCAAGCCATGTCCAGCCCTGTTTTTTTCTCAGTATTGAAAATCAGATCCAGTTCAAACAGATATGAAGCAAGTGCTCAGTCATTGAGCTACATCCTCTGCCCTTGGAGTTTTTTGTTCTTTGGCAGGAAATTTACATGTTTGAAAAAAATAAAGCCCTCTTAATAATATCATTTAGTAAACTTCAGTCTCATTTTTTCTTTCAGATTGGCTTTCCTCCCTTGCTTAGTATTGTAAGCAGAATGAATCAGGTAAAAGTCATCAAATTATAATCTTTTGTTTGCAGTATATATGAAAGTATTTTAACACATTGATTCAGTATTTATGGTATGAAAGACTTTATCCTAGTCGCTTCAGCGATTCTTATTTAAGGCTCATTGCATCCCTGTATGGGAAATTATTGTTAGTGAGTGTTCTAAACACAAGGAAACAGAATTTGAAGGGAAGTAACTAGCAGGTAGTTTTTCAACAAGTAAATGATAGCACTAGGACTCAGTGACAGTGGAGCTCCAGTTCCTTTAGGGGTGTTCAATTCTGGGTCTTCAATTAAATACAAAGGCCAAAACATCAGTTCTAGCTCTAGATGCCTGTCTTAGTATATTCCATAAGGGCTGAGATATATAATTTCTTGGACCAAAGGGATAAATGAGAATTTCTTTGGTTTTTCAGGAATAGACTCTTTATGAACTTAAAAAGCAAATGAAAACTGCTTTGGCTTTACATACATTAAGTATCCTTAGACTATTATTTTAGAAATCAGATACCAAATGACAATTTCATTTACTTGATCTTTTGCATTAAGAAATTGTGGTAGTCATAACTGAATTCCATCAGCATGATTCTCTTCTGTATATACCAACTATACTTGAATAAGAGAATATTTTCGAGTTGATAGTCCCATCTGTACTGTTTGAAAACTTCTTTTGCTAGTTAAGTTTGTTTCTCTTTAGATTTGTGTTTCAGCTTAATTTGGTATGGGAATAAACTAAAGACCTTTTTAAGTGTGTGAAATGTTTCATTAGTTACAAACTGAATAGTTTAAATCTTAAAATTGAAAGCTTAGTTGGTGCTCGAAAGTGTAAAAATTTCTATTAAGACTCTTTTTAGTCAGACAGGTTGGCTCATGCCTATCACTTGAGAGGCCATCCAGGGCTATATAACAAGACTCTGTCTCAGAGGAAAGCGAAGAGGATGTGATGGGGGCGGGGAGAGGGGAGAGAGAAGAGAAGAGAAAAGAAAATAGACTTGACTAGCCATCTGATGAAATTAGTTTTCTTTGGAAGCCTAAAGAACAGCCATTTTAACCCTCAGAGTTGCTTTTGAACCAAAATTAATGGAACTTGTATTGATCAACAATGTCACACTCATCTCTCTCTTTCTTTCTTCTTTTTTTAAGGCAACAGTCACTAGTGTCTTGGAGTATCTGAGTAATTGGTTTGGAGAAAGAGATTTTACTCCAGAATTGGTAGTATTGCATCTTTCTTTTTTTATTTCACAGGCAAAATTATATTTAATAGTATATGAGGTGTGACTACAATATTTATACTTATATCTTACATATGTATATATGCATATATACATTTGTGCTGCATAGATAATCTAAAACAAAATAAATCAGCCTGCTCTCTTTATTGAGAAAGCTTTAGGAACTGGGAGTGTAGCTCAGGGGTAGCGTACTTGTCTAGCATGCAGGAGTCCCTGGTTTAAAAAAGAAGGGGCTGGAGAGATGGCTCAGCAGTTAAGAGCACTGACTGCTCTTGCAGAGGACCCGGGTTTGATTCCCAGCAGCTACATGGCAGCTACGAACAATCCTTTCCTCCAGTTCCAGGGGAATCTGAAGCCCTCTTCTGACTTCCACAGCATTGCACAATACAAGTGTACTCACATACAAGCAGGCAATACACTCATACACATAAAATAAAAATAATAAAATATTAAACAAAGAATAATAAGAAAAGAATCCAGGTTTGACTTGCAGCATATGGGAGGATGACGCAGAAGAATTACCAGGGAGTTTGAGGGCAGCCTCAGCTACGTAGTGAGTTGTGGGTCAGCCTGGGCTACAGAATAAGACCCTATCTATCGCAAAAGAAAGGAGGAAAGAACAATAATTGCAAGCATTACATCCTATGCATTATTCTAAGGACTCTGTATATTCTTCATTAACTCTTTAGTAATTTATGAACTGTCATCCCCCATTTCATAGATAAAGCATAGAGTAGTTTGGTACATTGTTTAAAGTCTTACAGTCTCAATGACATAACTCAGACTCAAGCCCAGGTAATCAGATCTGTTATCTTGTTCTCTAACAGCTGTGTCACACTTTCCCTTTATTTCATTGTTTCACACTCACAGCTCATGTTTACCTTTAAAATTGGGTAAAACTGTAGTGGGCAGTATATTAAGGAATTACCTAAGCAATCCTAATTTATGACTAAAGAAATTTTAGCATCCTTTAAAGTAGATTTTGGGTCTGCAAGACAACTTGGTAAAGGTGCTTGCCACCAAGGCTGACAACCTCAGTTGAGTCCCTGGAACCCACATGATAGAAGATAACCAAACCTGCATGCTATGGCATACATGCACACACTATACACACACACACACACACACACACGTTTATATATAAATGAATAAAGTAGATTTAAATTTCACAATGATTTCTCTCACTTAAGATTTGTAAAAGAATGTGTCTGGGGCTGCAGAACTCCCTTGTAAGACATAAAATACAGCTTTGCCTTACAGAAACTGCGATCTAGGAGAGACATACAATCCAGCCTTATATTATAGTGTATCAGTGTATCAGTTTCCCATCTCACTTCAGCACTAAATTTTATTTGGGACTTTTTCATTCTTTTAAACTTTTTTTTTTTTTTAATGAAACAGTTGAAATTCATTAAAGATACTTCAATAAAGATTTTTAAGCACAAGGGTTAAGAGAGAAAGTATTCTGAATGATAGAAAAGCACACTGGGAACCTGGATGTGGTTTTCTCCAAGAGACTCATTCTTTTAAATCTGTACCATATGCTAGACATGGTAGCACATGCCTGTAATCCCAGCAGTTCGAAGACTGGAGCAGGCAGATTAAGTTCAAGTCCAGCCTGGGTTACACATTGAGACCTATCTCAAAGAAAAGGTTTTTAGCATGTATTTTTTTTATGGAATAAAATACATAAATTTGGAATTTTGTGTGATTTTAGCTAGATAAGACTGATAAGCTAGATAGTTTCTGTACAAACTATTATTTTATATTTTGTAATTGGAAAGGAAATACCATTTTAAAGGAGTATAAGTACATTTATCTTGTATTAATAATAGTTTCTGTACAAACTATTATTTTATATTTTGTAATTGGAAAGGAAATACCATTTTAAAGGAGTATAAGTACATTTATCTTGTATTAATAAAAGTACCAGAATGTTGTGTTTTTTGAAAAAGAAGGACTTACTTTGACTCAGCAGTTGAAGAGGTTTTAGCACCTACTGGCTGACTCCGTTGTTCAGTCTTTGGAGAGGTACAGCATCATGATGGAAGAGGGAACAGTGAAGTGTGACTGTTAGCCCATGGCAGTGGAGCAGAGAGGACCCAGATCATGTTTGTTTATAGTATAGTTCCTTTGTGTGAATCCAGGGGATGGTTTTAAATTTAAAATGATTTGTATTTCTGCCTATGGGTGGCAAATTAAAAACTGTATCTTAACTTTTGCAAGGATTTATATACATCTTAATTAAGATTTTAAGTGGTACTGGAGGATTGACCCTAGGGCTCCTCACATGCTAGGCAATTGCTGTAGAACTGTATTCTCAGCCCTCATTTTACTTTTTTATTTTGAGACATGGTCTTACTGAGTTGTCAGACTGGCCTTGAACTTCTGATCCTTCTGTCTCAACCTCCCAAGTAGCTGGCATTACAGGCCCAGGAGACCTAACTTAACTAACTAAGATTTTTTTCTTACGTACCGGGTATGGTGGCACACACCTTTGATCTCAGCACTCAAGAGGCAGAAGCAGGTGGTTCTTTTTGAGATTGAGGCCAGCCTACTTTAGATAGTAAGTTCCAGGCCTGCTGGAAGATACTGTCTATAAAAGACCATAAAAGAAAAAAAAAAGATGTATGTTTGCTTATAAAATGAGAAGCTCAGGGCCTGATGTGGTGGCACACACCTTTATACCTTTAATCCCAGCATTTGGGAGGCAGAAACAGGAGGATCTCTGTGATTTCTAGGTTAGCGTGGTCTATATAACAGGTGTCAGGATAGCCATGACTACACAGTGAAACTCAGTCTCAATAAAAAGAACCTTAATTCTATTAAGAAATAATTTTGAAGTATCTACCATCTGGGGTCTGTAGTTAGAAAGCATATGCCTTAGTTTATTTGTAGCAAATAATCAGGTACAACATTAGAAAAACAGGTTGAATGTGTGGTTTATTGTCTGTCTATTTATTACTTATTAAATTTTTATTTAGGGAAGATGGTTTTATGCTTTATTGGCTTGTCTTGAAAAACCTTTATTACCTGAGGCTCATTCTCTAATTCGGCAACTTGCAAGAAGGTGCTCAGAAGTAAGGCTCCTAGTGGTGAGTTATAACTTATTATTTCAGATTTTAATTACCTACTAATTTATATGATGATAAAGAAGGTTACCCCCCTTCCTCCCAAAAGAATTCCAGCGTTACAGGAAACCAAGTAGAATATGAGATGAGATCTAAAATGAATAGACCCCAAGACTTTGGTTTCTGCCTCTTTTGGCTTCCATTTTTCTCTTGGTCCATTTGGTGCTTTAACAGAATATCTGAAGCTAGGGTTTATAAAGAAAAGAACCTTTGTTTGCAGTATGCACATGCTTGGCAAGCACTCTACCCAGCCTGAAAAGAAATCCATATGTCAGTTTTGGAAGCTCCAAAGTCCAAGATCAGATGACATCATCTGGTCAACCTTCTGAGTCCATCACAGTATAGTAGATGGGGGTCACCTAACAGGAGTATGGTGAGAGCAACTAGTGGCACCCATGGAAGAGTGGAGGTGTGAGAGCTAGAACCGTGCAAGAAGGTATTAGTCATTAATCCTTCTGAACAGCGTCCTTTCAAAGATGATTGTGGCCCGACAACCTGGACCCATATGATAAAAGGTGAAAACCAACACACACACACACACACACACACACACACACAGAGGGAGAGAGGGAGGGAGGGAAGGAGAGGGGGGAGAGAGAGCATGAGAGAGCAAGAGAGCACAAATACAAATACAATAAAAAATTAAAGATTGAGGCTGGAACTTAGCTCAGTGTGTAGAGCCCTGGGTTCCATCTCTAGCATTGCATAAATCCCATGTGATAGCCCAAGCCTGTCATAGTGAGTTCCAGACCAGCCAGAGCTATTTAGTGAGACCCTGTCTCAAAAATAAATAAATGATAAACACAACAAATGATGATCGTAATGGTTTCAAAGAATCATTAACTTCAGAGTTTCCTCCTTGATACCATATTACAGTTATGCCTGAATAAAAACAGCCTGACTCTTAACATCCATCTTAAGCCAAGAGCAAACTAGAACTACTGAGAATCTGTTCCTCCAGAATGTTCTCAGAATTGTGCTCTTGAGCAGGGCTCATCCAGCATGAAATGGGGAAGGAAAAAGAGGAGCTGTGTTTTCAGAAGACTATGTCCCTTCTCACCCCTACTGAGGACACACACAACCACACATAGACATTATCAATTCCATCTGTTGTTTGCAGTACAGATGGGATAATCTTCATAGATTAGTTACTTCCAACTGTTTGCAGCACTTTCTTGAATATGCAAAACATCCACACACATTCGTTATTTGGGGTCCAGGGCAAAGAAGGGTCATGAGGGATTAAGGCCTTATACCCAGGTCACAGGAAGAACACACAGTTCAGTGAGTTTGTATACATTATAAACTAAGATAAGATTGACTTCTTGGTAGCAAGATTGAATAAAGTCATTTGTCTGGCATATGCCCATACTGTAAAAATTATTGCCATAATTAACAGTTTTCTCCTCTTTCTTGGCAGGGTCTTAATTCTATATGATGATAACTGTCATCTAATTTTCATATTTTATATCTTAAAAGGAAATTGTGAAAATATTAAAAAGAAATAGACTACATTTCTTTTCTCTTTTTTTTTTTTTTTTTTTTTTAGGGCAGCAAAGATGATGAAAGGGTTCCTGCTTTGAATTTATTGATCTGCTTAGTTATCAGGTAAGTTTAAGTAATCTTTAATTTGTTTTAATTAAGTAATTTTGTTATTTGTTATCAGTGAGAGTAGAGGGTAGAACAAATTTTAATTTGATCTTTTGTTCATTTTCAACTGAGGCATGTTTTTATTTGTACATACTTGATTTCATATCTTTTTTAAGCACTGGGATTGAGCCCAGTGCCCTGCCCATGCCAGACAAGTGCTCTGCCAGCTGAGCTGCATCCCCTTTCCTGTTTGAGTTAATATCTTATATCAGAATTCCAGCCAGAATTTATTTGAAAACATTCTAAATCCAAATAAAAGGCATATACTTATTTTAGGTATTTTCCTAGGCACGTTTCGGTTGCATTGATGGTTTTTGTTTAATGCCAGTACCTTTCTAAAGCTTCATAATGTACTTAAATATCCTCTGACTTCCACATAGGCAGCATTTCACACACCTCCAGCCCATCCCACCCTACCCCCCTGCCATAAATAAATGTAATTTTAAAATTTTTTAAAAACAGTTTGAAAGGGGAAAAGTTGTTCTAGACTACAAAATGTTCTGAAGCTGTACGCTTAAGACTTGTAGACTCTAGAGCCAGGAACACAAAGATCTCAAGTTTGAGGCCAACCTGGACTACATAGCAGAAACCCAGTCTCTACTCCCCACTCATCAGCAATCCAGGAGACTGAGACAGGAAAAATCACGCAAGTTCAAGGCCAGCCTGTGCTATGGGAAGATCCTTTCTCAAAAAAGAAAAAAACAGGGTGGGAGGGAGTAAGGGAAACCCTGTATGCTTTTTTTTTTTTTTTTCCCGTGCTGAAAATTCTGGTTTCTAAAACTATTATTAGCCTTATGCTGTAATATATATGTTGTTATTTCAGAATGGTAACAGTGTTACTGGCAGGAGAGGGACCAAAAGTAGTTTAAGAATTTCTTGGGCTGGCACAATGGCTCAACAGGTAAAAGTGCTTGCTGTCAAGCCTGGTGACCTGGAACCCACATGGTAGTAGGAGAGAATCGCCTCCCTCCGCTTGTCCCCTGACCAGTATACAGTTTACACACACACACACACACACACACACACGTACGTACGTTAAATAAGGAATTTCTTGGGGACTAGAGATGCTAGAGATGGTATGTACTGCTGCTGCAAACAACTAGAGTTGGAGTCTAAAATACATTCTTTTAAAAAATTTATTGCTTTTTTTTTTTTTGTCTTCAACTGTCTCTGTGAAGTATAGTCTTAAGAACAGAGTGCTGAAGGTCACTTGAATGTATTCTCTTCTGGTTATGCCACCAACTATGAATGGTAGAGTCCATTGGGAGTTTCATGATTTTCTTTTTATTGAGTCTTGTTCTTATTACATAAAATATACTGTTCCAAAGTTGGATTATAACTAGAGATACATTTGGAATATTTTAGCATCTTTTATCCTCATTATCCTAACTTTCTCCTAGAATTAGCCCTTTTTTAAGACAGGGTCTCCCTGTGTAGCCCTGGCTGGTCTGAAATTCATTATGTGTGTAGACCAAACTGTTAAACTCTTAGAGATCCATCTGCCTCTGCCTCTGAAGTGCTTGGGTTAAAGGAGTGTGCCACCACACCCAGCCTCTCATTACTCTTTTTATTGCATCTTAGTCTTCCATTGTATATATGTGCTGTAGTTCCATCAGTCCCCATATTGATAGAATTTGGGTTGTTATGGTCTTTTGCAATACACACTGAACTCTTTTTCGTACTAGGTATTTTGACCAGCGTGATTTAGCTGATGAGCCATCTTGATGCAACTTACCTCTGGGGGATAGAAGATATTTCTGCTGAAGGCAGCCTCAGTCTGAGGAAACACAGTGCCAGTTTGAGGATAGAGTATGTCACTTCTTCACTATGTGGAGGGTCTCATCTTAATCTGTGCAGATCAGTCTGATATTTGGAATACAGACTGAATTGGTCTGACTCTGAAATATCTAAGGAAACTCCCACCTGATACCTGATGAGCAGTTTGAATACTTCAGTCACACACACTGAAAATAAAGCCAATGTAACTCATTACAAAAGCACCTTGCATAAAAACTGATGCATTTTATCCAGGCCCCCGCTGCTGTTTCATTGCTTGTTTACATGTGTGCATAAAAACTTTTGTTGGAAATGTATTTTGCTTACTCAAATTTCGTTTGACTCTTGAACAAAATAAAATTCAGTGAATGTCCTAAGAACTACAATTCATACAAAACTAAGGAGATGTTTACCTTTAAGCCCGGTACTTTTAGTTTAAATGTTTAATTAACCACCAAAACGTTTTCTAGGAAGTCATTTTCAATAATGTCCTAATAAACTGGACATGGTAGTGCATGCTTAATGTAATCTGCACTTCAGGAGCTCAAAGCCAGTTTGGACTACATAGTAAGACCATGGCTCAGAAATCAAAAAAGGGGCTGGTGAGATGGATCCATGGTTAAGAGCTCCATCTGCTGTTACAGAGAACCTGAGTTCAGTTCCCAGCACCTACAAGGTGGCTAATAGTTGTCTGTAACTCCAGGTCCAGGGATCTGATGCCTTCTGGCTTCAGCAGGCACCAGGCATACATTTAGTGCATATACACACATGTAGGCAAAATACTCATAAAATACATAAATCTTCAAAATAAAATTGTAAATTGAAAAATGTTTTAATTTTCTGTCAAGGGGCAGGAGAGATGACTCAATGGTCAAGAGCCCTGGCTGCTATTCCACAGGACCCAGGTTTAGATCCCAGCACCCACTGGAGGCTAACAACCATCTGTCACTCCAGTTCCAGGGTAACCCATACCTTTATCTGGCCTCCACAGGTATTTCACAACACAGATGCACTTATATGCACTCATACAAAAAACTAAAAAAATTTTAATTTTCTATCTTTTATCACAATTTGTGCATAGGAGTACTTTTTTAAAAAATATTTTATGTATTATTTTTATTTTATGTGTATGAGTGTATTGCCTGCATGTATGTGAGTGCATCCGTGTCGTGCAGTGCCGTGGAGGTCAGAAAAGGTCTTCGATTTCCCCTGGAACTGGAGTTAAGGATAGTTCATAGCCACCATGTGGGTGCTGGGAATTGAACCTGGGTCCTCTGCAAGAGCAGTGGGTGCTCTTAGCTGCTGAGCCATCTCTCCAGCTCCCAGGAATACTTTCTATGTGAAGCAATACAAGAGTGCTTATTCAAATAATTGTTAATCGTTTTCACAGAACAAAAAAGTCTGAAGAAACTGTCCATAAGCAATTTAGTGACTGATTCCTTTAGCTTACTCCTCTAAGTAGCAAGATTGTCACTTTAAGCTAACTGTAGCAGTGCACAGTGACCTTGAACACTGTAGCCCAGGCTACTCTTGAATTTTCAACCCTCTGTTGAAATTACATGCATGTTCTGCTGTGCCTGGACACATTTATTCAACAAAACTATGTTCTGCTAAGAGGGGCTGAAGACATAGCTAAATGGTTAAGCATTTGCTGCTCTTCCAAAGGACCTGGGTTCAGTTCCTAGCACCCACATCCGATGGCTCACCACTGTCTGTAACTCCAGTTCCAGGGAATCCCACATCATCTGGGCAATGCAGGCACTGCAGGTATGTGGTGCACATACAGGCACACACCCATAGAAATAATACATTTTTGGAAGAAGTGTTGGATAGGCAGCACTGGCAAGTACATCTGGCTCTTAAAGCCTCATATTTCTTTTTATTGTTTGCTAGGGGAGAATGCACTTAAGACAGATAAAATACAGGAGGTGTGAACTATTGTTTTTTAAATTTCTACAGCTAGTAGCTAATATAAAGTTGTATATGCTACTCACACAGTAAAATTTCTGAGTAGAAAACATTTAAAGGGCATGTGCAGATGAGATGTTAAAAAAAATCACCTTAATGCAGTTCCATCTCTACTGCATGCTAGAGGGGTGTTTGCTTGTTTGTTTCTGTTTTGTAAAAAAAAAAAAGTGTCACTCCGGCCCAGGCTCCTATGTAGCCTTGGTTGGCTTCCAACTTGTGTAAGCCCCATGCCTCAGCTTTCCAAATCCTGGAATTACAGGCAAAAGCCAGCAGACCTGGCTCAGCTAGCAGATCATGAACAGTTATGTGAGAACCCATTTATATAATTGTGTACTTGGCATAAGGATATTTTTGATAAGTATAGAACAAATAGAGTAAGCATTTTACGTGCTGATCCTTCGGTTTTCTCAGGACTCTAGAACTGTACCCTTTCCCCCACCCAGCTCCCAGCAGAAGTCACTTTGGAATCCTGGGATCCCCAAACTATCAATTACCAATGTATATGTTTTCTTACCACAAATAGAAATATATTTATTGTGGAGATGATTAATAACCCAAATAATATAAAAGCTAGATGTCAACAGTTTCAGAGGACTGTATAATTTACATGTAACTTTTACATCTGTTACATTTATATGTGTACTTAAGCATTATTTTGTTAATTTTTAAATTTTTATTGCGTTGTTCAATATTTTCTTAGCACATATATGGAAGTCAGAGGTCAACTTTCTGGAGCTGGTTCTCTCCTTCCACCCTGTAGGTCATCAGGCTTGGCAGCAAGTGCTGAGCCATTTCATCAGCCCCCAATTTCTTGTTACTATACCGATTTACATAGTTCCATGTAAATCCATTTCAGCATTTTTAACGACTGCACACAATATGTTTGTGTACCACCAATGAATGAAGTGCCACACAAAAAATTTAATCAAATGGTGAAAATCCTCATACACAGGTTTTCATACTTTTCTTAGTTTAACTTTGTTAAAATGGCATTGCTGAGTTAGAGGGGAAAATATGCTTTTAATTAGAAGTGTTCTTGTAAATACAAATATTCACTAATTCCTCTGGTATGGAAAAACACTAAGAATTTGTTTTTTTAATTTTTATTGAGCTTTTGTACATTTCATACAACAGTTTTTAATCAAATTCAGACCCCCTCCCTCATCATGTCCCCCTCCACCTTGTCCCACCAAACTTCATTTATCCCACCATACATGCTAACTTCTGTCCAGTGAAGCATTTGCACCCGGATATCCTTCAGTGCAAATTCATACATCGGAGTCTAGTCAGCCTATGTAGAGATCATAAGACCTCCTCTCCCTCACCCAGTAGTGATCAGTCTCCCACAGTTCCCAGACAAGAGCAGACCCACCACCCATTTCCCTCGCTCCACTCTGGGCCCTGTCGATTTTGAATACAAGCAAAATAGAAGTGTTAATTGTTGTGCTTTAATGTTCTGTTTCAGGGCTTATGAAATTGGGACATACTACTGCAACAAGCAAAAATAATTAGTTCAAAGTCTTTATCCCAAATCCACATTCTCTTCTGAGTTTGAAGTGCATTCTAAACACCAAGCTAGTTGGCAGGTCAACTGTGCCCTTCATTCTCTGTAAAGTCTTAATTTAAAAAAAAAAAATTTCTGCTATTACTTATAGTTCATCTTTTGTCTTTGGAGTCTGCAGCTCCCTGTGAGGGTTAGTCATTCATTTTTCTGTAGACATGTCAGGGTTCTGTTTCTTTCCATTAAGGTGACAAATGTTGGTACATTACAGATAGGAAATTTCATGTAGTTTAACTTTTAGAATAGATACATACTTTTAATATCCCAGCCACCTCTTAGCAAAGGTAAAAACACCATCAAAACTGAGGTTCAGTTCTCATAGTCACATTAAATATATAAGAAAATACATGTCCAGTGTGGCAAGGGAATGGATTTTTCAAGGATCCTGAAAGGATAGCTTTCTTATTTGGAATCTACCTCTCATAGCAAATGAAGCTGACATAGTAATAAGGCATTGTGAAATACACAAGAACAGACTATATGATTCATAAATGTAAAATGTGGAAAAGAGGAGGAAATGGGGAGGGCACTAAAATATAGAAAAAGAGGATATTATAGTTTCTAAAAAGGCATCCCTGAATTGATTCAGTGACTATTAGCTCTTCGAAACAATTCTCAACGATCTCAAACCATCAGAAAGAAAAAGAGAATAGATGTAGAGCAGGTAGTCCTGCACTAGCTGAAAATTTAACATCAGAGGAGGAACAGTTTTGGGTCATCATCACTTCTAGAGACACTGTCTCTGCTACCTGCCCCCAATTACATATCAATCCATTTGTTCTTAGTCATACTTTTGAGCATACAATTTTATGCACCTTTCTCAAGCCAAATTGTTCATTTTGTTAGTTTATAAGCTTGTGTTGGATTACTTTCAGATACTATGGAATAACATATACCCAATCAGTAACGGGATATAGCAGAGCAAGTTATATTTAAAGAATCTTGCTTATTCCAGTTTAATTGCAGAATATTTTTGGAATTCAGATATATTAACCTAACACAAAGACACAATTAATGCTCCTGATTAGTATCAAGCTATATTAGGAAACAGAAAACTTTCACAAGACCAACTAAGGTGTCAAATATTTTAACAATAAACTGCCTGATACTCCTCACATCTTTTGGCCTCCTGGGGGTACCTGTGAACACATGAAATTCGCTCATACACATAAGTAAAAATAATAAAAATAAATTTAAAAACAGCACAGCTCATAATGTTAATGATTGTCTTCATCTATTCTTGCCACTATCACAAAAGATCACAGATTTGGTAACTCATAAATAATAGACTGAGAGGTTTGGTCAAAGATCATCAGTTGTTCAGAACCCTTGATTCCAAGATGGCACCTTGAATGCTGCTTTTCCTACAGGGAAGAACACTGGCTACTCATATGCAAAAGGCAAAAGGGCCCAGTTAGTTTCCTAGTCTTTAATAAACCAGAACTGTACTCCTGATGCAAGTTCCCTGTGTCTCCAGTTTTAATGCTGTTATGTTGAGGAGTAAGTGTCACCATGAATTTAGGAGGACCCAAATTTCAAACCAAAGCACTGGCTAGTTCAGATATCCACATTATCTTTAGTTGTGAAAATTGCTATTAATATTCATGATAGTTTAATGGGATGCTGTCTTAGTTTGTTTCTTCATTGCTGTGACAAAACACTCTGACCAGTACCAACTTGGGGAGGAAAGGGTTTATTTGTCTTACATCTCCCAGGTCGCACACAGTTCATCAGGGAGCCCAAGGTAGGAACTTGGAGGCAGGAGCTGGAGCACAGGCCATGGAGGAA